ATCCAACCGGAATCATGAGGTGGCGTGAATAAGCATCGCGTACAGCAATGTCCAAAGGCTCAGGGACCCTTCGTTGGCCCGTGGGGGTCACTACAGGAGCGGTCGAGAAAACCCTAGGTTTAACGTTTCTAGATGGTGCGTTGGCGCTAGGAGCGTTGGAAGAACCAGATGCCATTGTTGGTAGCGAGGTTGAAGACGAAGTGAAGAAGAAAGGTTTGCAAAGTTGACAAGAGTTTGTATGCAAATGAAGGATTCTGAAAGCAAGGTAGCGTAAAAAGTCCCACAATGGGTACTTACTGCTATTTATAGAAGTGGGGGGAAATCCCCAAAATCGAGGACATTAAATGCCATTTAATGTTGCAGAAGGTAGTGGGACACGTGGCGTCTCCCTGTTGTTTTAGCCGTTCTGCAGAAATGGAAGGGTGCAGCGTGCGCCCTCGTTTTTTGGGAATTGTCATGATGACAATTTGTGAAATGACGTTTGGCACACTGCACGCCGTATTGAGGTGACGTCTTAGGTACGGATAAATGATAGTTTTTCTTGGGATTGTCAGTGGTTAATAGAAGACAACAAAAAGTGCACAATTTAATTTGTGACTAAGAATGAAAAGACAGGTGTCGAATGGTATTTCAAAGAATGCCTTTTTCTTTCAGAGTCGAAATAAGGCATTCTTGGGGGGCAATTTGTTGGCTCTTAAATTCGACACCCTTGTTTCATTAATGTCAGCCATTAAAGCTGAAGGTTGTTTTCGATCAGCTGGGTCCGTCGAAATGCCCATCGAAAGAGGGCAATATACTTAGAAGATTTCTTCCAAATGAGAAGTTGGTTGCCTTCGACGTCGAAGGTGTTTCTCGTCGAAGATGCTTCTCGACGAAGGTGTTCGATGGTTCAGAGTGGAACGGTTTGAAGTTCAAGTATTTGGAGGGAAAACGGTTTCCAGCGGTTACCAAGTGCAACGTGCAAAGATCTGGAGCGTCGAACGTTGAGAACGTGCCAAGTGGGATCTTCTCGAAGCAGTGTAACTGCCCGACGGTTACTTGGGATGTTTCAGTATAAATAGTAGTAGTTCACGCAGTTTCTCGCGTGTGTTCACAATTATATACAAAGTCACTCATATAGATTCGAGTACCCAGCGTGTGAGAAAGAATTATTGAGAAATGTATGTGTGAAACACCAACTTTATTAATCAAAGTCATTTACTTTTCCAGAAATTTACTTGCTTTCTTCTTTACTTTTCTGTCGAAATCCTTTACTTTAAGCCTTCATTTATTTTACCAAGCCTATTTCTTCATGCAATTTACTTAAAGCCTCTTTACTTTATTGTCATTTAACCATTATCCAATTTAATCAAAACCTCAAAATCAACCTATGTCCTAGGATCAATCTGATCGATCCTGCGAGTAACCAAATAAGTAACCATTTGGAGGATCAACGGTTGTTTACCAATAACCACGGTAAACAACCGGGCTTCAGAAATAAAATTTTCCTCTAGGAGGTCTTATACAGCTTTTTCAATAGCCTTCGTTTTCTCGAGGGACTGCCTACGCCTAAGTTGTACTATTGCCCTGGCGGCTAGATCGATGGCCAGGTGGTGACAGACGACCTCAGGGTCAAGTCTAAGCATCTCTGCGACGCTCCACGCGAATAAATCCGCGTTTTCTCTCAAACAAGCCTTGATCTACTTCCTCGCTAGGTCGGGGAGTCCAGTGCCGATCTTCACCCCTTTGTGCGGGTCTTCACCGAGGGGGACAAGCTCAAAGTATCCATCTGGAATTAGTCAGAGGAGTCCCTACTCTCCGTTGTGTGCTTCATCTTGGTCGAAGCGGGAGTCCAATGAAATTAAGTCGACCTTTGGAGGAGCTCTCAGTTCTTCCGCCTTGACGGGCTGTGGCTCTGGTCGTGCTGTTGCGGCTCTCTTTGTGGGTCGTGCTCTAGTGTCGATCGTACTTTGTCCCTTTGACGCTGCATTGGAGCATCTTCGGGAAGCTGCTAGGTCTCCTTGGATGGTTGCGATGCATCCTCTATTTGTGTAGAATTTCATCTTTAGATGGACAGTGGAGGGAATCGCGGTCAATTTCGCCAGTGTTGGTCTCCCTAGGATACAGTTGTAGGGAGACGGGCAGTCGATGAGCAGAAAGTGCACCTTGACTTGCCTGGTGGTTGTGTCCTTACCGAAGGTGACCAAGACCTCTAAGTACCCCTAAGGTTTGGAGGTCAAGCCGTTGAAGCCCTGCAGGTCGGATCCCATGTATGGTGAGAGGTGGGTGTCGTCGAGTTGTAGGGTTCAGAAGAGTTGATTATACATCACGTCGACTTGTAGGGTTCAGAAGAGTTGATTATACATCACGTCGACGAAACTCCCTTCGTAGACCAAATTTCTTTTTATTTTCTTATAAAAGTTAACTTTACTTTGTAACTGGAGGATGTTTTGAAAACACCTAAATCCAATTTCTTGGGTGAACCTTTACTTAATACAATATTCTAGTAATTTTTTTATAAACCATCATATCATAATTATTTTCCTTGTTCATTCCTATTCTTTAATTTTCTTATTAAATGCAAATTATCATTTGTTTCCTAGTTTTATTCTTAACATGTTCCGTGTTATTTTGTTTTGTTATGCAAAATTAAAAAAAATCGGTTCCAATTTGTTCCATGGTTAAAGTTTTGTTTATTTAGGATGAAAAAACAACACCTTCAAAGATGGGAGAAGATGCGAGTTGATGAGACAAAATGAATTTCATAATTTTCAATTTTAATCTTTTTCTAGGTTTTTAGTAAAGTTAAATGAAAAAGATAGTGAAGATGATGATAAAGATGAAGATGAAAAAAAGAGAAAGAAGATAAATACACGCAAAAATAAATAAATTAAGTGTTGATGGTGTAGTATAATAATTAATAGAGTTTCAAAATTAAAAGGTGTAAAATTCATTAAAATGATCAAATAATTAAATTTTACAAAAATAATAAAGTATATGATATACACTCAATATTATTGTCTCACATAATATATTTAATGTTAAAAATTAACAAATAGATTAAATTAGTTAACGTAATAGTTTTTGATAGACTAAAAAATAAAATTTATTAGATACGTGACTAAAATAAAATCTTCAATTAATTTAAAGAACTCTAAGACTAATTAAACCTTAAATATACGACATGGGGATGTACTCGTGTATTCATAAACACATAGAGTGCAAATAACAAGTGCAAGCAAATTAATAAAAAACCCAACCCAAATTAACAAGGACCAATAGGTCAAATCACCGATTTCCACTATAAATAAACTCGCAACCTCTTCACCTTCAACCAAATCAAAACCCTAGCGCCGTTCAATTCACCCCAATTCCAATGTCAGATCCATACGAACGTGCAAAAGGAGGTAGATTAGCCTTCAAAGGAGGAACCCTAGCAACTAGGCAAAAATCCATAGACAAAAAGCGAAAGAAAAAGAAGAACAAAATCGAAAACCCTAACCCTAACACCGAAGTAGAAACCCTAGAAGAAGAAGAAAAAGATGTAACCGTTGAAGGATCTGAGCCGTCGGAGTACACAATTGACGCGGCGAAGAAAATGAAGTACGATCAGCTATTTCCGGTGGAATCTAAGAAATTCGGGTATGAACCGAAAAGTAAGGCTAAATCGATTGAAGAAGCGCTCGATGATCGTGTCAAGAAGAAAGCTGATCGTTACTGTAAATAGTGTAATTGTAAGTTTCGCTTTTCCGATTTTGAATTTGTTTTGTGAAATCGTAACTGGAAAAATGTATTTGAATTTCTTGATGTTAGTTAGGTTTTTTTTATTTTGTTGATTTTCAAATTACGTGTTGTTTTTTATGATTATTGTGGTTTTGTTATTATGCCCAGTGATGTATCAATATACTGTTGAACGGTTACACGGTTTTATTCACAACCTTTTTGCATTTCTCTCTCTATCTATCTTACTCTCTCTATCTCTCTCTTAGTCTCTCCCTCTGTGTTCTTGTGTGTGTTGGTGTGCGTGTGTTGGAACACAAGGAGGTTGTGAATGAAACTAGTGATGACAACCGTAGATGATTCTATAAGCTATGAGATCTGAGGGCTTTGGATACATCTATTTCTGTTTGTTACTGATAATTTCAATTTCTCGATTGTGTTATTGAAGTATGTGTGCTAATTTCATTGAAATTTATTAGTATCTTCTGTTTTCAACAATGGTTGCTGTTGTGTTTCAGATTTTCTCTGGTTGAGAAGAGTTTAATGGGATTTGTGTTATGCCATGTGTTTTTGGTGAATGATGATTTTTGCACTGGGCTCTGAGCAGTTTTATACTGCAGTATTGATGGAAATGCTAAGCCTAGAAAGCTTTTTCTGACTCATTGCATAACAGTTCTTTGTATATACACTGATCATCTATTTGATAGAGGTTTTCTTCTATAATTTGGTTTATTTGTTGATCGTATTTTACATATTTGTTACTATAATGGTTGATTTTGCATTTCCTTGTTATGACTTATTATTGAAAACTCTGGTTTTTCTCATGCATGTTCTTCAATTTTTGGTCTTTTTCATGATTTCATACTGTTAGAACAGATTTCAAGATTTCTGAATTAAATTTGTTTACTTGCTTGTTGTGTTTATTTATTTACATGCCCTTAATTTTAAACGATTTCCTGCCCAATGATGTAGAAATAGACTATTGAGCGATAATGGGTTTTGTTTATAACCTGATCTGCACCTTTCTCTCTTTCTCTCTCTCTAGCTCTTAACTCCCCATCTCCATCTCCTTTTGTTTTGTTTGTGTGTGTGTGTGTTTATTTATGTTTAGTTAACCACAACTTTGAAAGGTGAAAGATGGTTATGAATAAAACCTGTGATTAAAGCCGAAGATGAATTTTATAAAGCTATGAGATCTGAGGGCTTTGGATTCCTTGTATATTTAATATCTCTTTATCAAATTTGAAACACATGTTTGTCCACAACTTACTTAAAATTCTGATAGTCAGAGCATGACATCCTCAGTGTTTTGTCTTCACCCAATGATGTATAATTAGACTATTGAGTGGCTGCATGGTATTGTTTACAGCTTGGCGAGCTTCATTGCCTTTTGGCATTCTTTCCCTCTCTCTAACTCTCTCTCTATAACTCTCTATTCCATTCATAAATATATATATATATAAATAAATAATCACATGGTGCTCGAGGGCTATGAATGATGCCATTGTCAAAGCTGCTTATGATTTTTGCCTAGCTATGAGTTCTGAGGGTTTGTGTTCAATTTTTGTCGTTTTAAAATTTAAATTAAATTTTCTGTACTTATGTTAAGTATTTGTATTTCCTTTTCTTACACACCATTTTCTTGACTGTAACACGATTTTACCTATGAATGCAGAAAATTATTGTAATATGGCTTGTTGAGTGGTAATGATGGGTTTTCTTGTCACAATCTTTAAGGATGGATACAATAATTCATGTGTTGGTGATGTTGGGTTTTCTTGTCACAACCCCTGAAGGTTCGATACAGTTATACATGTGTTGAGTTGTGATGCTGGGTTTTCTTGTCACAACCGTGAAGGATGGCTTGTTGAGTAGTTTCTGTTAGTGAGTAATAATACTCTGACTTGACTTCATTGATACACTTGCAATAATATTCCGTCAGAGTTATACCTAAAATTAGGTATAGAATAGAAAAACTTGACTAGGATTGAGAGAAATTTGTTTGGTCCAGGAAATAATTCCTTTTCTAAATTGTATTCTCATTTTAACTTCAGAATCATATTCAATGTTCTATCATTCTGTATAAATGTAAGAATAAATTATAGGATTTGACTTTGACAAATCTCATTACAAGCTGTTCATTCTCAAGTCACAAGAATTGGGAAAATTCTAATAGGGAAGATCTTGTAGTGATTTTTTAAAATTGTAAATAATAAATTATGAATTGGTCTTGACTTAGAATTCATTGCCACTTACTAAACCCTTACACTTTAACACAGTGGTGCTGAGTGCATCCTTTGCTTTTCACCGATTAAAATGCTTTACTCTAAAAATTTACATTTTTGTTTCAAATTATAGGAAACAAAATTGACTTCCATATTTTAAAAGGATTAAATGTATTTAATTTACTTTCTCTCTTTTCATGTTTTAAAAACAAATGAAATTATTAGTTTTTACTTTTTTATACAACTGTTTTTTATTTTTTCTTCTTATATTTTGGGAGGGAGGGAGAGATTATCATTTAACATTGAGGTACGAAAAAGATGAAATCAAAGTAATTTAGTCAAATTTATTCAATTGATTGTTATCTTCCAAAATGAACGACTACAAAATTAGTAGAGAACAAATCAACAAGGATTTTCACTGTTCTGCAGTGACAGGATTTTTAAATCATTTGAATATGTTTTATGTTTGAAAATAATATTTTACTATTTTTTACTATTTTAATAATAAAAAGAAAATGAATAAATAATATTAAAAAAATAATAATTATTTAATAATTAATTTATGTAATATATCGTATATATAAAAAATATGTATGAGATCAAATTTGGTTTGAATTGATTTTGAAAAATCATTCTGAAAATTGATTCGAACCGAATGATTTTCACAAAAGGATATCAAAATAAATTCAATAAAATTTAATTTTTTTTGCGATTTTTTATTTTTTTTAGATTCATTTGTAATTTTTATTCGGATTGATTTGGATTTGAACCGTTCTATATGGTGGTATTATTCAGGTAACTAAAGGGGAATGACTGGGTTGATTTATAGAATCTCTCATAGTGACTGATGCAAATACTGTTTTTAAGTGTATTAATTCCTTTTCTAAGGGGACATTATGTGGTAGAGATGGTTTGTGTGTTCAAAATATTTTAGATGCACTGTGTGGAGAAGGTTCTATTGTGTTGAAAGATCTCTTATATGCAATCACTCTAGTTGTTAACTTATGACTAGGAGGAAGATGTCCCATGAGTATGGCGGAGTTTGTTGCCTCTGCACCATTGACATCATTATTAAAGTCTGATGGTGGGATACAATCATTTGTCGTGGGTTCTATTGGTATCCAAAGTTGCTATGAAATGGATCGATAAAGATATGGGCGATACCTTAATGACTTTCAGTTAGGGGTTGGGGTATCGGGTGATGTTGAAGCCATTTTGTATAGTGCCAACAGGGTGTTAAGCTAGCAACACAAAGATGGTTCCTTGACTATAATCATTATAGATTTCTCGAATGTTTTCAACATGGTAGATCGATAAGCCTTATTGCGCGATGTGAGGGTGAAATTCCTATCTATTTCTTTGTGGATTGAGTTTCTTTAAGGCTAAACAACAAGGTTGTACCTTGGGGATGAACATATTATGTTAGTCACCAGAGTGCAACAAGGTGCCCATTAGGGCCACTCCCTTTTGCTCTTGTGTTAGTCACTCATTCATCGGGTTAGAAACAATTGTAAGTTTCTTCTTCATGTTTGGTATCTTGGTGATGAGACTATTATAGGGAATTTACAGCAGGTGGCTAAAGCCCTTGATATCATTCAGGAGACAGGTCCATGATTAGGTCTTAAATGGAATATTAGTAAGACTGAGATCTTTTGGACTTTATTTTATGGTAGTAAACTTCGTGAGGATCTGTTCCTGTCAGAATTAGGAAGCCGTTGTTAGGGGTGAAGTTGCTTGGAGGGGTTGTTAGTCGGGATGACGATTTCATTAAGGAGTTGTCCAAGAAGAGAGCTTCTAAGGCTATTGATTCAACGCACCTTCTACCACAACTAAGGGATCCTCAGAGTTAGCTTCTTCTACTTCGATTTTGCATGAGTATTTTTAAATTGTTTTTTGCTTAAGAACGTGTCAACCTACTCATATGGAGGAAGTATCTGTTTGGTTTGATAAAGAGTTACAGAAGGAGGTTGAAGACATCGTGGTTGTTGGAGGTCCTTTTTTCGGGGATCTCCAATGGAGGGTGAATTCATTATCCATTAGAGTTGGGGGTTTGGGTTTGTACTCGGCTGTAGAGGTTGTCTCATACGCCTTTCTGGCTTCCAGGGCCATATCTTGGGTGTTGCAAGATCATATATTGAGACACAGTGGGGTGTATGGTATGGACTCGAATTTTGACAGAGCGTTGGACTGTCTTAGTGTTGCGATTCTAGACTTTGACCTTAGCAATTTGTTGTACGTATTTTCAACACAAGTATTTATATTATCGTTTTCCTCAGAGATTGGTGTGATATTACTGTCGTTCTATAGTTTTAGTGAATTTAGGTGTTTGATTCATAGACAAAGTTTTGGTATTGGGTTTAGTAACAAAAAGATTAGGTTTCATGCACGATGTTGTGATTTGGATAAAAGAGAGATTTTTGTTTGAATAGCTTGTTTTGATAAAAGGAATGTCAAGATTAGTTTTCATCAACCTATTTCAAACATATTCGATTAATCAAGTAATTGAACTAATTGATGATCAATATATTCATATATCCTCTCAACACTACTCATGTCTAAGCAATATTGTGAGTATTATCATGTTAATCATTAAATGATCTCTCAACCTAAGTATTAATATGATAATCTTTAAAGCTTGATACAAGTAAATACTAACTCGCAAATCTATGTCTAGAGTTTGCTCATTAATAGATGAATATCTTAGGTCAAGTTTGAAATTTACTTCTCAATAATGATCCAAACCATAAAAAGAACAATGATAACAAATATATTCAACATATATTAATCATCAACCAAGTTCATATACAAAATGATCAAAATAAATACATAAGGGCTAAGTTAACTACCTCTAATCTTGACACAAATGATGCTTAGCTACTCATAGTCATGATACCTTAATCAATAAATAAGCAATCAATCTTTATGGACATCAACCTTGATGTTTCCAAGATTGAAGATGCAAAGCTTTGATTTTTGTGGCAATGGAGGAATAATTGTTTTTTTCTCTTAAAGTAAGATTTTTCTAGGGTTAAAAAGTACAAGAGTGTGTGCAAGTATGACACAAAATATCACAAAAGTAGCCAAAAAACATGGGCAGTCCGCACACCATCGCCATGCGACCATAAAGCATCGTCGGGCGACGCTAACTAGATGCACCACGTGACCAACTAGACGTGAGGAACACGCAGAAAATATCCACCAATGTCCGGCGACAAGGATGCTTTGTCGGGCGATCCAGGAGCGAGACATTCCAAGAGCTAACCCAAAAATTCAGCCTTTCTTCACAAATTTCGCCGGGCGACACATCCTTTTCGTCGGGTGATCCATCACAACAATGCCATTTTTCTTTGCAAGCAACAACAACAGAGAGCCGACTTCAGGCCGTCATGCACAAAAATTGTTGAAAAACTAATAAACAAATTAAAACATTCAAAATTATTTGTATTTATGCAAAATGACTTAAAATAAGTTCTTAACCTAATTAAAAATATAATAAAGGGTTTGAAAGTGTCAATAGATGATATGAAAATTACTCAAAAGTTGACACTTAACAACTCTTTCCAACTAAAGTCTTTGTTCGTCCCCAAATCAAAGGTAAACACCAAGATAACAAGATGAATTTATAAGAACAAAATCAACAAGAGAGATTTGTTTGGTTCAAACTCAATAGATGCGGTCACAATATAAATCAACTGTTTTCAGAACCAAAGCATTATAATGAAATAAATTTTAAACACAAACATCTAGCTATACATAAATTAGTAGCAACATGTTCATATTTGAATCACCTACTCTCAATCAACAAAATGTGGATTATGTACACAAGATAAGGGACAAAAAACTCTCATTAGCAATTGTGCTAACATCCAGAACAATTAATGCATTCATCAATTAAGTTGAAAAGAAGATCAAGGAAACATAAATCACAAAAGGACTTTTATTGGTTGTAACTTGGCTTGGGTTAAGAATAAGGGATTATATATGCAAGACCATTGAAACAAAATGGGTAAAGATCATGAAGATCATTTCAAATATTCACAACATTCGTTCTTGCTTCATCCTTAATTTTATCACAACCTTTGATTTCTTTTTCTCAGAATGCTCCTTTCTCTTTTCCCATTCTTCTTTCTTCTTTTCATTATTATTACTTTATTTTTTTATTTTAAAGCATTTCTTAAAGGATGCATTGTGACACCACTTCTTTCTTTATTTTTAAACAATCTCCCCAACTTTCAACATTACTTTCCTTTTTATTCAAGCAAATTCTCTTCAAACAAGGC